CATAAGATTAGGATTAAATTCAAAAAAATGTTTAGAATTTTTTTTTTAGAAAACATAGAAGCAGTTTAGGCAGAGGGTTTTCAACCCGCCTATTCACATATATGTAGTTCATACCCACCATAGACTCTGGTCAGTCAAAATGACTATTTTGAACTGTAGGCATTAATCTGCGATTCAGCCAATGACAGAGAGAGAAATCTAGGTCAGGGGAAGCCCCATGACCTTATAGATTTTCTTCCACATCATGAACCATGTGACCGAGACAAGGCGGGCGATGCCATCTTGCCTTATGATCACTTCTTTTTTGTCTTTAAACAAGGACTAAGCCAATCGCTACGGAAAAGTGAATAGGCGGGTTGAAAACCCTCTGCCTAAATTCACTACGTTCAATTACCCACCATAGACTCCATGTTCCTCCCGACCACCTCACTTTTCTGTAGCGATTGGCTTAGTCCTTGTAAATGACTATTTTGAACTGTAGACAAAGTCAGATGCCAAGAGGTGGTGGGTTTCTGAGCAAGAACAGAAACAATAAAGGGTTGTCCCGGGACGATAATTCCTACTTACAACTACCACCTAGTTAAGACCAGTTACAAATGGTGTCTTTTCTTGCCAGTGTCGTTTCAATAACAAAAACAACTGCTGATAGGGTGACGGGGTCGGCCTGTCCGAGAACGCTAGACCCAAACCAGATTCTGGGGTAACTAGCATTTCAAAGGAAAAGAGGCCGAAACAGTTCTGCATGAGGGCAGAGGCCGAAAGCGAGACCTAGACACGTCCAAGGAGAGAAACGAGGGGAGCACCTGATGCAAGAGCCAATGAGTTAGCCATGGCATAAACCTCGGCCCTCATACTCGTGTCTCTGTATAGACTATATGTCATAATTTTATCATCTTAAACTGTTTTGAACAATGTCAATTCACTACGTTCAATTACCAACCATAGACTCTGGTCAGTCAAAATGACTATTTTGAACTGTAGGCATTAATCTGTGATTCAGCCAACGATGGAGAGAGAAATCTATGTCAGGGCAAGCCCCATGACCTCATAGATTTTCTTCCACGTCACGTAACACGTGACTGAGGCAAAGAGGCCCACGCCATCTTGCCACATGATCACTTCTGTCTGTCTCCGCACCAAGTGTGCATCGTAGCAAAAACAGTGTGATTCAGTCTCCAGTTTTTTGAGTGAGTTTTCTGAAGAAGCTGTGAACCATTGTAGAAGTAGACATAGTCGCTGGTAGGATAGTTTTTCTTATTTTGGGACCAGTGTCTTTTTTTGTCCTGGCCATCAGAGGTGTCTCGAACACGCCCTTGCTCACTTTTTTTTGAAAAGTGAAGGGGGGTGGTTAGGTGATATCTGATTCGGCGGGTGCAACCTCAAGCAGCCCCTTGGAGCCATGTCGTGGCGGTGATGTGGGGAATATCGATCCTAGTGATCCGATGTACTACCCCCACCCTTGATCCTGAAGCAGTCACTCTTGTTAGTGCTGTCGCTTCCGGGATCCAGACAGCGTGATCCAAAGCAGCACCGACTGCATGACTCTCCTGGTGTGGCCGAGTGCTGGACATAGTGGGAACACACATATGGTGTTGATGAGCGGATCTTGGTCCCCTGCAGAATAGAGGCCTAAGTCCCTAGGGTGAGGCAATTTCATGCTTAACCTTTT